GTCCCATTGACTTACATGGCCTTGTAAGCAAAGAAACTAGTAATAGTTTTAAAAAAAAAGCGTGAGCATCCCCGCCCCCCAAAAAAACACTAAAAAAGCTAAAAAATCGCAAATGTGAAAAAAAGGCGAAAAAAAACACAGCAAAACGCCACTAAACGCTAATGCAAAAACGCAAAAAAATTGAAAAACTCTGGTTTTTTAACGTGACTTTACACAGCTAACGCTACCAGCGTTATTAAAATGTCCCGTGTGCATGGAGCTTAACCATTAGCCGCCCGGCCAATGGCCGTTTGGCGGCTTCAAAAGTGTTCCTGCATTCCGGGTGCACGCCATTTGGCGTCCTCCCGCACATGCGCAGTTTGCGCTAATGCAGAGCGGCGCAGCAGCGCGATCTGTCACCGGCCGTGCACCTCGGACACGGCCGATGACAGATCCGAGTACCGACTCCCGTTGCTGGGACCATGTGACCTGCTGTGACCAATCACAGCAGGTCACATGACAGTTGTATACAATGGATGGCTTCATTCATGCCATCCGTTGTATACTAGTGCCTAGCTGTGAATGGTCACAGCAGGTCACATGCACATGTCATGTGATTAGCTGTGACCAAATCACAGCTAAGCACAAAAAAAAAAAAAAAAAAAAAAAAAAAAAAAAAAAAGCTGAATAAATTGATTTCATTCAGGTAAATGCTTGCTTATAGCAAAGTAATTCTTTGCTATAAGCAAATTGTGTAAAAAAAAAAAAAAATACTGATCACTTCCCCAAAGTAGTACAATTTTACTATGGTAACATTGTACTACTTTGGTCATAGTAAAATATGAAAAAAAAATCTTAAAAAAAATTAAACAAAATGTAATAAAAAATTAAAAAATAATAAAAAAAAAAAAAAATATATATATATATTTTTTTTCATACTGTCACCAGTCAGTGTCCCTGTTCACCGCCATGCCAGTTATATGATGACGCTGTACTGCACTGGTGACAGTAAGTAAAAAAAAAAATAGTGAAAATAATTTTTTTAATTTTTTAATTTTCCGAAAAATTATGACAAAAAAATACAACTTCAAAAAACTCGCCATTCCTCTTATGAAGTACGTCGGACTGTCTACTCTGCAAAAAGGGGTCATTTGGGGATATCTGTACTGTTCTGACATTTGGGGGATATCTGTACTATTCTGACATTCTTGGACCTCAGGAAATTAGATTGGCTGTCAGTACTTCAGGATTGATCAATATTCAGATCTATACCATAGTTTGTGAACTCTATAACTTTCCTACAAACTAAAAAAAATACATCCTAATTTGGGTTATTTTCACCAAAGACATGTAGCAGAATACATCTCGGCCTAAATTTATGAAGAACAATTATTTATTTGTAAACTTTTATAACAGAAACAAAGAAAAATGTGTTTTTTTTTTCAAAGTTTTTGGTCTTTTTTTGTTAATTTAGCAAAAAATAAAAACCCCAGCGGTGATTAAGTACCACCAAAAGAAAGCTCTAGTTGTATGAAGAAAATGATAAAATTTTAGTTTGGGTACAATGTTGTATGACCGCGCAATTGTCATTCAAAGTGTGAGAGCGCTGAAACCTGAAAAATGGCCTGGGCAGGAAGGTGTAAAATTGCACGGTATTGAAACGGTTAAAGAAGAACCCCACATAAAAATCAAGTAAAAAAAGGCTAGCCTTCCCCTCCAAAAAAATCCACAGCAGACCCTTATCTGAGCATGCAGCCTGGTCAGGAAAGGAAGGGGGAGAGCGAGTTTCCCAAACCATACCAGCCCACTCGCCCCTTTTTTCTTTTTTAAATGCTGCTGTAGTCGATTGTATATATCATACAGACAACGCCACTTCACAGGCAGGGTCAGGGCGCCCCCCAGGCGTGTTATATATAGGAATTGCACATTTTTTAAATGTTTCACTTTTAGAATTATTAGCACTTCAACTCTCCTCCAAATACAATAATTTTTTTCTTGCATTAGACATGTCCCCCAAGGCCATGATATCTCTTGACTATTTGCCCAGAACATGAAAAAAGCCATGTGGTAGTCAGGGGCAACAGAGACAGGTCTTATATTAGATCCTCGCTGATAAAAGGCTCACTTCAGGAGCCCAGACTAGAGACGGTTAAATAATAATGATAATTCGTAGGTGAGGTCTGTCAGACGAGACTCACCCTTATTTGGAATAGAGTCAAACAAGCTCTTCTGGATTACTAAAACACTTTCACCTCCTGTTCTGCATTTCTAACCATGGCTTCCACTGATCTGAGACACAGGCTGAACTGCTCCATCTGCCTAAACCTTTACGCCGATCCCGTCGTGCTGACGTGCGGACACAGCTTCTGCCGGATCTGCTTGGACCGTGTTCTGGACACCCAGGAGGAGTCTGGAGTTTATACCTGTCCAGAATGCAAAGAACAGTTCCACGAGCGGCCCGTCCCATCAAAGGATCAATCACAGCATGAAGCTCCCCGCAGCCTTTGTGATTATTGTATTCAATCTCCTGCACTGGCGGTTAAATGTTGTCTATTGTGTGAGTCTTTTTTGTGTGAAGACCACCTGAACGTCCACAGCACGTCTGAGGAACACGTTCTAAGTGATCTGAATGTGGTCTGTCCTGAACACAAAAAAGTCCTTGGGTATTACTGCTGTGAAGATGCTGAGTTTATCTGCGATGCCTGTATTCTGGCTGAGGAACACACCAACCACCATGTGAAGCCAGTCCAGGAGGCCTCGATGGAAATGAAAAAATTAGGGAGAGACCTTCTGGACAGACTGGCCTCTAAGGTAGCAGAGGACGAAAGCAAGGCCCAGGTTCTCCAAGTGACTGGTAGAACAACCCAAGAAAAGTTGGCTTTTATAAAAGAGAAGGTCAGTGCCCTGTTTAGGGACATCAAAAGACAACTGGACGACCTGGAGAAGAAAATCCTGAGGGACATCATCCAGAAGGAAGAGCAGATTTCTCTCTCGGTCACAGATCTGATCCAGCAGTTGGAAATAAAGAAGGATGAGCTGTCCAGAAAGATGCATGACATTGAGGAGCTGTGCAACATGAATGACCCCATATCTGTACTTGAAGAGTGGAAGACCAGCAAAGAGGACTTTGGCAAGACAGAGAATGGATCCGACATGAGCGCCAAGGAAAAATCAGGTGGTGAACTAGACGAGGGCCTGATCTCAGTGAGTTTACACACTAGTTTAACGGAGATTGTTACTAACGCCAAGAAAGTCTTTTATGTCCAGCAGGATCCAGACTTTGGACTGGACATCAACACGGCTTCTAATAACGTATATCTATCTGGGGACTTAAAAGCTGTGTCGGCCTCGGAGATCAGCCAGAATCGCACCAAGACGCTAGAGAGATTTCAATATAATCAGGTCTTGGGGAGCAAGAGTGTCCACTCTGGGAAACATTACTGGGAGGTAGAGACTGGAGAAGGGGGCAACTGGAGACTTGGCTTGTCCTATCCTAGTATCACCAAGAAAGGCTACCACTCCCTGATCGGACATAGCAACAAATCCTGGGGCCTGTGTAGGTATTTTAATCAGTACTTTGCTGTACATGACAGGAGAGTGTTACCAGTGCCACAGAAACCATCCTCCAACAGCCTGGGGGTCTATCTGGACTACGAGACCGGGCAGATATCCTTCTACGAGCTTTGTGACCCTGTCAGGCTTCTGTACACTTTTTCTGTTACTTTTTCTGAACCTCTTCTTTTGGTGCTTGGTGTGTATACAGGCTGGGTGAGAGTCAAAAATTAGGTATTCAAATCAGACTGCTTTTTGATTTAAGGTGAACTTAGGAATTTTTGGGGACAGTTCCTGTTGTCCCAGACCAAAAAAAAAAGTGTCCCTAGAAATGAATATGCATCCTCATCCACTTGACTTCTAGTCATTTGTCAACCAAGTAACTATTTTCACGTTAGGCCAGGCTGCATCGGTAGGAGGTTAGGAAATTTGTAAAAATATACCCGCTGATCCTGAAAGAAATACAACGTCCTTGTACCGTCCTGTGAACTAGCAAAATCTCAAACAGTGCTGTCAGCTTTCCATGTGGGATACAGAACACTTTCCCTTATGTTATGGTGTTAAAAAGAGAGGAAGGTGTTCTGTAGTCCTGTCCTAGGGTGACAAGGCTGCTCCTGCTTAGATATGGTGCATTGAGTGAGCATTGTCACCCTAGGACAGGAACTGTGTTACTGGCAAGGTCTCCAGGTGTAAATACAGAGAAAAAAGTCTTAAAAAAAAGGAAAACTAACGCAACCGCCACATCTAAGGGCTGGTAAGCTGCAAAATATTCCACTTTTGTTCTTGGCAGCAGCCATCACTAAATGGTGGACAGCAGTCTGGACCCAGAGTGACTATCAGTCCAATCCAGACTGCCAGCCCAGGCAGTCCCCTCCTCTGCAGGTATTGGCTGCTAGGGCTGCCAGTGTTCCAGCCACCAGTACCATCATGTGCATGCCCTGAACCCAACAGCACAGAAGGACGGAAGTGGAACTTCCTCCTAGACCTGCAGCCTGCTTTGCTTCCTGGCTCCCACCTTTTGCTTGCCTGGTGCTAAAAGATACAAGGACACTGTGCTTAGGACACCTAGTGTGGGGAGGGGGGTGGGGGGGCTCTGATGGGGACACCTGATATAAAGGGGACTCTGATGGGAACAACTGATGTAAGAGGGCACTCTGATAGAGTCACCTAATGTAAGGGAGTAAGGGAGAATCTGATGGGGAAACCCAATGTAAGGGGTACAGCTGATATAAGAGGGACTCTGCTGGGGACACCTGATGTAAAGAGGTACTCTGATGGGGATACCTGATGTAAGGGGGACTCTGATGGGGACACCTGATGTAAGGGGGTACTCTGACAGGGACACCTGATGTAAGGAGGTACTCTGACAGGGACACCTGATGTAAGGGGGCACTCAGATGGGGATACCTGATGTAAGGGGGCACTCAGATGGGGATACCTGATGTAAGGGGGACTCTGATGGGGACAGCTGATGTAAGAGGGCACTCAGATGGGGATACCTGATGTAAGGGGGCACTCTGATGGGGATAACTGATGTAAGGGGGCACTCGGATGGGGATACCTGATGTAAGGGGGCACTCTGATGGGGACACCTGATGTAAGTGGGCACTTTGACGGGGACACCTGATGTAAGGGGGCACTCAGATGGGGATACCTGATGTAAGGGGGCACTCGGATGGGGATACCTGATGTAAGGGGGACTCTGATGGGGACACCTGATGTAAGTGGGCACTCTGACAGGGACACCTGATGTAAGGGGGCACTCGGATGGGGATACCTGATGTAAGGAGGCACTTTGATAGAGTCACCTAATCTAAGGGAGACTCTGATGGGGACACCCGATGTAAGGGGTACTCTGATGGGGACACCTGATGTAAGGGGGCACTCTGATGGGGATAACTGATGTAAGGGGGCACTCGGATGGGGATACCTGATGTAAGGGGGCATTCTGATGGAGACACCTGATGTAAGGGGGTACTCTGACAGGGACACCTGATGTAAGGGGGACTCTGATGGGGACACCTGATGTAAGGGGGCTCTCTGACAGGGACACCTGATGTAAGGAGGCACTCTGATGGGGACACCTGATGTAAGGGGGCACTCTGATGGGGACACCTGATGTAAGGGGGTACTCTGACAGGGACACCTGATGTAAGGGGGACTCTGATGGGGACACCTGATGTAAGGGGGCTCTCTGACAGGGACACCTGATGTAAGGAAGCACTCTGATGGGGACACCTGATGTAAGGGGGCATTCTGATGTGGACACCTGATGTAAGGGGGTACTCTGACAGGGGCACCTGATGTAAGGGGACACTGATGTGGATCTATTTATTGATAGAGACATAACTACATATCTTATCTGAGTCATAGCACAAACATGAGATTCAGACCTCTGCTGCAAGAAAATTATTCTGACCACATCTCAAGGCGATACTAAACCCAAAACACAAAATGGAATATTTTACAGCTTAATGATCATTAGATGTGGTGGCTGCATTCCTTTTCTTTTCTTAGACTTTTTCCCCTCTGTTTTCACCTGGTTATCTGTTCAGTAACACATCTCCTGTATTAAAGCGCCCCCACTCTGGATGAATGAGTACAGCAGCATTGTCAGTCTGGGGAGAGGGGAATGTTAGATCGACTAGGAGATTTAAATATACTAACAAATTGAAGCTGAACTCTGGTTCATACTTTATAATCATTTATAGCAAACAGTTTTTTTTTTCCTTTTGGGATAAAGGTTTTTATATTTTAAAAAAAAAGCTAATTATTGTAAGCACCTCTGCCAGCGTTCAATGGTCTGTCTCATCTCTGTAACTGATACATCTTGCAAAAGAGCTTGTTCTGTTGAAAAACAACAGAGACTTACTGGCTAGATCACTAGGCAAAAAAAAAGCCTGAAAATAGAAAACTAATGCAGCCAACACATCTAAGAATTGGTATGCTGCGATATAATAGATGTTTGCTTTCGAGTTTAATACCGCTTTAATTTTTTTTTTTTTTCAATATCCTTGCTATACAGGATGGCATTATATTGGGGTTACATTATGGTTGAAATGGTCTCATGTTACCTTTTGTCTAAAAAATGTGTTTGGTTTTCTTATGCCCTTTGCACAGGGAGCTGAGCTGTTGTGGATTGTACAGTTTGAACATCAAAAAATAAAAAATGCCTAAAGCAAAATGCATTCGGGTTGTCAGCTGTAATTCAGTAGGAGGTCAAACCAGGCCACAGGGAGGTGACAAGACTGTGCCATAATAAAAACAGCAACTAATGCGAATTATAGGGACTTGGCCTCTCCTTCTGGAATTGCTACTCACTTGGCTGTGATGTTACCACTTTAAGTCCCCATGCACACTTGGCGTTTTTACAGCGACTGTTTTTGACTTTTGATGTTTTTTTCTACAGCTAGTAAACCCCCCAGCATGTTATCCTATGTGTCCATTCACACATAGACTGGAATCAACGTTTTTGTGGCTGGGACTTTTTTTGGCTGGAAAAAAAACCCAGGACTAGTGAGTTTCTAGAGGAGTCTTCTAGCTTTAAAACCACTCTAACGCTGACAAACTCAGTAAAACACTTCAAACTGGCGTTTTTGGATTTTTTTTACCAAAAAAAAAAACATTTTTTTTTTGGTAGAAAAAAGCGCAAAAAAACGCAAACGCGGGAAAAACTCCGCTAAACACGGCAAAACACAGCCGCTAAATGCTAATGCAAAAACAGTAAAAAAAAAAGCTGCAAAACTCACATTTTTAACGTGACTTTACATTTCGTTTAGCGAGTTATAAAAACATCCAGTGTGCATGAGGACTTAGGCCGGCCATATATAGGTCGATTTCGAAACGATTTTTCGTTCAAAAATCAGACCTAAGAATAATCGGCCGATTTTTGCTCTGTTAGTGGGGAAATGGCACCGTCCGATTGTCGTGGTTGCTGCCCATTTTGTTTATCGGGCATGCTGAAAATTCGTGAAAAACGACCGATTTTCTAAATCATTGGTGGCACCATCGGATTACAGAACGATTGATGTTTTCGATTTTTGATCGAAAAATAGTCTGGAATTCGACCCATGTATGGCCTGCATTAGTCAGTGCCCCTGAACAAGGATGCTGATATAGACTTTCCTTCAGGATTTGCAAGCCTGTTCTGGGTCAGTGACTCACCAAGCCAGAGACTACCAGGCTACTGGCATTTTCAGAAGAAGGTCAGCAATTGAAGCTCTCATATTTCCATCAATACAGCTTTAAGGTGGTGTAGCCCTCTTTATTTGGGGGGGGGGGGGTATGCCATGTGGCCAGGGGCGGACTGACCATTTGCTCACTCCGGCACTGCCCGAGGGCCCAGGGTCAGTAGGGGGGCCCCATGAGATGCCCCTGGTACCTTTCATAGGCTTTTTTGGGTGCGGTTTGAGTGTGGGCGAGAACACAGGGGCCCCATGATCCCCTATTGCCCGGGGCCCCATGAGTTGTCAGTCCGCCCCTGCATGTACCTGTAGGTAAATGAGAGAACCAGAACCTTCCCAAAGTGGAAGATTGGGTTTGATAATAAAGTTGTCAGTTCCTCCATCCAGGACAGGGCCTCCCAAGGGGATTCCCTTCTTTGGAAATTAATCAGTAATCTAATCAAATAACTGGAAGCAGAGGAACTACTGCAACCAGCATGTACCATTACCCATAAGTATATAGATGCACAACAGTATAGAAATAATACAAGGTTTATATAAGAAGAGATTAATAACAGTACATACATCCAATGCACAAACATATTATCAGCAATCGGGCCCGATAGGATTCTTGGTGGAAATGTGCACATATACAGTGGGGAAAATAATTATTTGATCCCCTGCAGATTTTGTAAGTTTGCCCAGTTACAAAGAAATTAAGGGTCTATCATTTTTATCATAGGTGTATTTTAAATGATGGAGACAGAATATCAACCAAAAATGCAGAAAAAAACACAATACAAATGTTATAAATTGAGTTGCAGTTCAGTGAGTAAAACAAGTATTTGATCCCCAAGCTAAACATGACTTAGTACTTGGTGGAGGAACCCTTGTTGGCCAGCACAGAGGTCGGATGTCTCTTGTAGTTGGTGGAGGAACCCTTGTTGGCCAGCACAGAGGTCAGACATCTGTTGTAGTTGGTGGAGGAACCCTTGTTGGTAAGCACAGAGGTCAGACGTCTGTTGTAGTTGGTGGAGGAACCCTTGTTGGCCAGCACAGAGGTCAGACATCTGTTGTAGTTGGTGGAGGAACCCTTGTTGGTAAGCACAGAGGTCAGACGTCTCTTGTAGTTGGTGGAGGAACCCTTGTTGGTAAGCACAGAGGTCAGACGTCTGTTGTAGTTGGTGGAGGAACCCTTGTTGGTAAGCACAGAGGTCAGACGTCTCTTGTAGTTGGTGGAGGAACCCTTGTTGGCCAGCACAGAGGTCAGACGTCTCTTGTAGTTGGTGGAGGAACCCTTGTTGGCCAGCACAGAGGTCAGACGTCTCTTGTAGTTGGTGGAGGAACCCTTGTTGGCCAGCACAGAGGTCAGACGTCTCTTGTAGTTGGTGGAGGAGCCCTTGTTGGCCAGCACAGAGGTCGGACGTCTCTTGTAGTTGGTGGAGGAACCCTTGTTGGTGAGCACAGAGGTCGGACGTCTCTTGTAGTTGGTGGAGGAACCCTTGTTGGCCAGCACAGAGGTCAGACGTCTCTTGTAGTTGGGTGAGGAACCCTTGTTGGCCAGCACAGAGGTCAGACGTCTCTTGTAGTTGGTGGAGGAACCCTTGTTGGCCAGCACAGAGGTAAGACGTTTCTAGTAGTTGGTTCCCAGGTTTGCACACATCTCAGGAGGGATTTTGGGGACACAGCCACTTACAAATACAGGCAGCAAAGGGCAGCAGATTCCTACAAAGGCAAACTACAAAAATGGCATGAACCACTCAGTAGCCTTTAAGTAGCAGTAACACAGCAGTTTTTGTTTTTCTGAGTCCCCCCACCCCCCATATATTTCTGTTGATCCTGCCAGTAGATCTGTTATGTTCACACACACACAATATTCATATCACACATTTATATAGCTCTGACATATACTGCAGTGCTGTACAGAGACCACTGAACCATTTACATCAGTTTCTGCACTCTGGCATACTTACTGGTGTGTGTGCCGGAGGAGCTTACACTCTAATGTCCCAGCACAGTCTCACACTATTATTATTAGACAATTACAGTATATATCTGTGACATATACCGCAGTGCTGTAGAGAGAACACTGAACAGTGACATCAGTCTCTGCAGCCGAAGAGCTTACACTCTAATATCCCCCCACAGTCACACACTATTATTATTATTATACATTTAAATAGCTCTGACATACATATACCGCAGTGCTGTACAGAGAACACTGACCCAGCCACATCAGTCTCTGCACCAGAGGAGCTTACACTCTAATGCTCCCCTCCCCCACAGTCACACACTATTATTATTATACATTTATATAGCTCTGACATATACTGGAGTGCTGTACAGAGAACACTGAACAGTCACATCCGTCTCTGAAGCTGAAGAGCTTACACTCTAATATCCCTACCACAGTCAGACACTATTATTAATTCACATTTATATAGCTCTGACATATACCTCAGTGCTGTACAGAGAACACTGAGCCATTCACATGAGTCTCTGCACCAGAGGAGCTTACACTCTAATGTCCCCCCCCCCCCCCCCCCCCCCCCCCCCCCCCCCGCCACAGTCACATCAGTCTCTGCACCAGAGGAGCTTACACTCCAGCGTCCTACCACAGTCTCACACTATTATTATTTAACATTTATATAGCTCTGACATATACCATAGTGCTGTACAGAGAACACTGAACCAGCCACATCAGTCTCTGTACCAGAAGAGCTTACACTCTAATGTCCCCTCCCCCACAGTCACACACTATTATTATTATTATTATATATTTTTATATAGCTCTGATATATACCGCAGCACTGTACAGAGATCACTGAGCCTATCACATCAGTCTCTGTATAAGAGGAGCTTACACTCTAATGTCCCCTCCCCCACAGTCACATCAGTCTCTGTACCAGAGGAGCTTACACTCTAATGTCCCCTCCCCCACAGTCACACACTATTATTATTTAACATTTACATAGCTCTGACATATACTGCAGTGCTGTACAGAGAACACTGAGCCAGTCACATCAGTCTCTGTACCAGAGGAGCTTACACTCCAGCATCCTAGCACAGTCGCACACTATTAATATTTAACATTTGTATAGCTCTGATATATACCACAGCGCTGTACAGAGATCACTGAGCCAGTCACATCAGTCTCTGCACCAGAGGAGCTTACACTCTAATGCCCCCTCCCCCACAGTCACACAGTATTATTATTATACATTTATATGGCTCTGACATATACTGCAATGCTGTACAGAGAACACTGAGCCAGTCACATCAGTCTCTGCACCAGAGGAGCTTACACTCTAATGCTCCCCTCCCCCACAGTCACACACTATTATTATTATACATTTATATAGCTCTGACATATACCGCAGTGCTGTACAAAGAAGCCATTAGCACAATCTTTGAAAAAAGAGCAAAATGGTGGGGGTGAGGTCTTGTTCTACTTCACAGCATTTTGTGTAACCAGAGCCAGATGTTGCACAAGCCATGGCTAGTAAAGAGTTAAGTACGCATTCTCCCACCCATCAGTTGGCTCCATCCAATTGCGGCACAGTTTCCTCTTCCTGCTTTCCAGCATGGCGTCTGCCGACCTGAGAGATGAGCTGAGCTGCTCCATATGCCTGAGCATTTTCACCGATCCCGTCACACTGAGATGCGGACACAACTTCTGCCAACTCTGCATTCACCGTGTGCTGGATACCCAAGCCGAGTCTGGTGTTTATTCCTGTCCGGACTGCCGGGAAGGGTTTCACAAGCGCCCCACAGTGCACAGAAACTTAGCTCTGCGTAACATATCAGAACGGTTCTTGTCCGCCCAGTGCGATCGGCAGGATTCTGGGATCTTCTGCTCCTACTGCATTCATTCTCTCATACCTGCTGCTAAATCCTGTCTACTCTGTGAAGCTTCTTTGTGCCATGACCATCTGAGGGTGCACAGTAAGTCCGAGGAGCATGTCCTGAGCGATCCCAGTGCCACCCCAGGAAACAGAAAATGTGCCATCCACAAGAAACCACTCATGTATTACTGTACAAAGGATGGAGAATGTGTTTGCTTGTCCTGTTGCCTAAATGGAGAGCACAGTGGTCACCAGGTAGACATAATGAATGAAGCCTCCGAGAAGAAGAAAAAGAAACTTTATGCCATCATGGAGGAACTCAGGGCAAGCAAAGACAAGACTGATACAAAAGTCAAGAGTTTGTATATGAACGAAGGAAGCAAATGCCAAGAAAAGTTGAAGTTCTACAAAGAGCAGTCAATGATTTGTTTAAAGATCTCAAGAGGCAGCAGGATGACCTGAAGAAGAAAGTCTTGAATGAGATCGCTAGACAGGAAAAGCAAAATGCATCAACAGTCTCTCATCTTATTCAGCAACTGGAGATAAAAAAAGTGGAACTGTCCAGGAGAATTCATCACGTTGAGGAGCTGTGTAACATGACTGATCCGGTGACCATCTTACAAAACCCTGACAGAGAAGACTTCGGTGATCCAGAGCCAGAAAACGAGGTCTGTCATGAAGATGTTGATGTGGAAAAGGATGGAGAGAACATCGCTACCCTAGCAGATGCAGTAGGTGACCTAGATGAAGGAATGATCTCAGTGATGTTGCACAAAAGTTTATGTGATATTATGACTAGCGCAAGAACAGATTTCCTTACAATGTGGGTGTCAGACATATTGCTGGATGTTCATACAGCTTCTAACAATGTCCATATCTCAGGGGATCAGAAAACCGCCTCATGGTCACAGAAGTCTCAAGGTCGCCAAGAAACACTAGAAAGATTTCAGAGCTTCAAAGTTCTGAGTTCTACAAATTTCTCGTCTGGTCGGCACTTCTGGGAAGTAGAAGCTCATAAGATGGGGAACTGGAGATTAGGCATGGCCTATGCCAGTATTGACAGAAAGGGAGATCGATCAAATATTGGGAATAACATCAAGTCTTGGGGTTTGAGGTGGTGCAATAATCAGCTCTCTGTGAGATATGATTGTAAAGAAATCAGTCTATCTCATAAACTCCTAAGCAACTCAATTGGAATATACTTGGATTATGAAGGGGGACAATTGTCCTTTTACGACATGTGCAATCCTTTGAGACACTTGCACACATACAAGGCCAGTTTCACCGAACCGTTACACGTTGCATTTGCCTTATGGAACAATGCCTGGTTGAAGGTTTAGCCTACTTGATCCTCTGATGAATATCGCTTATTAGCTTTAGCTTTAGCTTATAATACCCACCGCCTTAGGAGACCACGATATTTGGCTGATGTGATGTTTCCTCTTGGACTTTAGGACAAGGTGCTTGGCTAGTTTGGCTAAATCCTGAATTGGACTAACAGCACAGTGCTGAAGCTAGCCCAAAAGAGCTCTGGAAACAAAAAGATTTGGCTAAACTGTTAAATCATGAATGATGTTGAATGGATCTACTCAGCTATAAAATCCACATTAACAATTGATGGCTGTTTTCAGCTCTCATTGATGAAATTATTACCATATCTTTAGTTCAGGGAAGTGGAAACTGTCTTTTAAGATCCACAGGTGCTTAAAGAGTTTGGACCACCCAAAATTGATATTCCAGTTAGAGGTTGACAATGGTGGCCTATAGCCTGGTTAACTGAGCAATGTCTCCCAAGTCACACATGTTCTTGAGGGGCTGATCCACCCAAAACCAATATTCCAGTTACAGGTTGACATTGTTAGGCTATAGCTTAGTGAACTGAGCAATGGCTTCCAAGCCACACAAGTTCTTGAGGAGCCAGTCACCAAAAACCAATATTCCAGTTACAGGTTGACATTGCTCAGTTCACTAAGCTATAGCCTACCAATGTCAACCTGTAACTGGAATATTGGTTTTTGGTGACTGGCTCCTCAAGAACTTGTGTGGCTTGGAAGCCATTGCTCAGTTCACTAAGCTATAGCCTAACAATGTCAACCTGTAACTGGAATATTGGTTTTGGGTGGATCAGCCCCTCAAGAACATGTGTGACTTGGGAGACATTGCTCAGTTAACCAGGCTATAGGCCACCAATGTCAAACTCTAACTGGAATATCAATGTCTCCTAAGTCACACATGTTCTTGAGGGGCTGATACACCCAAAACCAATATTCCAGTTACAGGTTGACATTGTTAGGCTATAGCTTAGTGAACTGAGCAATGGCTTCCAAGCCACACAAGTTCTTGAGGAGCCAGTCACCAAAAACCAATATTCCAGTTACAGGTTGACATTGCTCAGTTCACTAAGCTATAGCCTACCAATGTCAACCTGTAACTGGAATATTGGTTTTTGGTGACTGGCTCCTCAAGAACTTGTGTGGCACGGAAGCCATTGCTCAGTTCACTAAGCTATAGCCTGCCAAAGTCTCTCAAGCCACACAAGTTCTTGAGGAGCCAGTCACCCAAAACCAATATTCCAGTTACAGGTTGACATTGGTAGGCTATAGCTTAGTGAATTGAGCAAAGGCTTCCAAGCCACACGAGTTCATGAGGAGCTAGTCCACCCAAAACTACTATTCTAGCTACAGGTTGACATTGTTAGGCTGTAGCTTAGTGAACTGAGCAAAGTCTCCCAAGCCACACAAGTTCTTGAGGAGCCAGTCCACCCAAAATGAATATTCCAGTTACAGGTTGACATTGGTAGGCTGTAGCTTAGTGAACTGAGCAGTCTCCCAAGCCACACAAGTTCTTGAGGAGCCAGTCCACTCAAAACTAATATTCCAGATACAGGTTGACATTGGTGGCCTATAATGAACTGAGTAATGTCTTCCAAGCCATACAAGATCTTAAAGGTTCAGTCAACCCAAAACTAATATCCCAGTAGCCTGAACAATCCTCTGGCTTGGGGATTCCACAACCAAGATGTCACTACTAAAGCATCTGAGCACTGCCTAGCTCCTAAAAGAGGTCTCACTCTTCCTGCTGCATGATATTAGACAATGTCTTCTACAACAGGAGAAGGAACCTGGGTAAAAGAGTGACCCTTCCGTTGCTGAACCGAGAACTGTAGCCCTTAAAGATGTGGTGCTCCTTTGCTTTTTGAATGGCTAATGTTGGTCCTTAACATAACTTGATGCAGATACAGAGCAACAGGAAGAGCAAGACACATTGTCACAGCTGCAATAGGTTGGTAGAGGTGGACTGACAACTCATTGCTTTATTAGTCCAAAATAATATTGGTTTTGGCTGCACGACACTTACACACATCGCCGTTTCACCATATCTGTGAGACTGAGATTTCCCTTCACTTACTGCCCTGGAGACAGACTGTTAAGTGAGAGGAAATCTCTTCAGACTGAGGGAAATTCCCTCTTAGTTGTCACCAGACCAAGTGTCTTTTTATTTTTTTCTGGTGACAACTCAAAATCTCAAACTTTCAGTCCCAGAGACAGTGGTCACCAGGACAAATAGAGACTGTGTTCTTCCTGCTGCTCGTGTGTCTGTGTGTCCTATCATCGCGACAAACAGCTTTAAGAATTTTTTATAAATACACTCCAAATTTTTTTTTTTTAGAACACTTGATATTTTGTTGTAATACTTGATTCAGTGTTGTAAAATCTGTCTGAAGAGAACTTTTAACTTTCACAATTTGCAAGATGTTTAAAGTTTCATTCTGTCTGTGTGCCCATGCAATCAATGATCACTGAAATAAAACGATGGTGGCTGAGTTGCTGTTGTTCCCAGTTGCTTCCACTTTGTTATAATCCCACTAACAGTTGAGCGTGGAATATTTAGTAGCCAGGAAATGTCACGGATGGACTTATTGCCCAGGTGACCACCTATCACGGGACCACGCTTGGAGTCACTGAGCTCCTGAGAGCGACCCATTCTTTCACCAATGTTTGTAGAAGCAGCCTGCATGCCTAGGGGCTTGATTGTATACACCTCTGGCCATGGAGGGGATTGGAACACCTGAATCACATAATTTGGAGGGTGGGGCCAATACTTTTGGCAATATAATGTATTTAGGGAGTAACATGAAGCATGGACACCATCACCAAACTGCCCCTTACCTGAATGCGGACGGGCTGCTTTATACCGAAGGTGGTTGCTGCTGTTTGGACGTAGGCACCTTCAGCAGCTGATTTAATCCCTTTTGCAGCTTCTTTATCTTTTAATCCTTGTCTATGTTCCAGTGTAAGCTGGTATGATGATCACTGCCCCAGGTTCCCTGTTTCAGGGTGGCTCCTTTCTCTTGCAGCATCCTATGGGGTCACTCTTGCTTGCAGGGACTAGAGCTGGGTCTCCCTACGCCGTGTAAAAGAGCATACAGGTGGTGCAAACACCTAGTGCAATATCCACGGTTTATTAAAAAATTTAATTTTTAATATAGATTTTTAATAAACCTTGGATAATGCACTAGGTGTTTGTGCCACCTGTATGCTCTTTTCCAGTTGTTGATTTCCCCATCTGAGGAGGGCTGCATCCAGGGGCGGACTGACAACTCATGGGGCACCCGGGCAATAGGGGATCATGGGGCCCCTGTGTCCTTGCCCAAACTCAAAAAAACCTATGAAAAAGGTACCAGGGGCATCTCATGGGGCCCCCTACTGACCCCGGGTACTCGGGCAGTGCCCGAGTTTCCAAATGGTCAGTCCGCCTCTGGCTGCATCTCTGAAACGCTATCCATAAGCTACCTTTTGTTCTGGTTCCCCTGGCTTTCCTTTGGCATTGATTCCTGGAGCGCTGGAGAGTATACATTGTTTTCCCTACACTGTGTGTGCATCAATAGAAACACACAGCCCCACAGCCTAGGGTGGCAAGACCAGGGGCCGACTGACCATTTGGGAACTCGGGCACTGCTCGAGGGCTCGGGGTAAGTAGGGAGGTGCCCTGGTACCTTTCATAGGCTTTTTTGGTGTGGTTTGAGTGTGGGCGAGGATACAGGGGCCCCATGATCCCCTATTGCCGGGGGGCTCCATGAGTTGTCAGTCCGCCCCTGGGCAAGAAACACCCTGCTCCCCCCTCCTCCTCCAACCTAACAGACTGACTCCAGACTGCACTGCCCACTGTTCACTCTTTCCTGTGAAAACCGGAAGTTCGGGGAAGCAGCACTGAGAGAGCAAGGACCAGCCTCTTTGTAAACTTGGATTTACCAAATCGTTTACTGGGGAATGTGAATGTTAATGCGCTCAATGTGTTTAATATTACTTTAATCAAGAAACAGAGTACGAAAAAAAATCCCACTTTTGGTAAATACGTTTCGTTTTCGATGTGTGTTACACTTTATATGGCAATTTATAAAAATGTAGAAAACCCAGCTACTCCGACAGAAATTATCTCGTCTTACACCCGGTCACTTATCCGACTTCCAGTGAAGTCTCACAATTTCAAAGTCGGATGTCATTCTGACTTGAGGTGCGACTTGCAAGACATCTGCAGCTTGCAAGGCTCAGATGTCTACGCAAGTCGCATCTAAAGTAGTGCACCACTTTAGAAATCGATATGACCGCTTTAATGGCAGACAATAGGGTGTGGCTTGCCATGCGATTTACAACTCGCATGGCTTGGCAAAATCGCATGGCAAGTCGCATCTGGTGTGACTCGCATGGCATGGCAAATCGCATGGCAAGTGGCATCCGGAGTGACAGGGGTGGTAATGGGGTTTGCGGATTTTAAGTATTGGTTTCGATTGCTCGTGTGCCCAGGGCTATGTTAGTATCCAAAAATCATGTTGATATCGATGGTAATTCCGCTCTGATATGGCTGGAGATGCAGAATCGCAGGTTAGTGGCACGATTGTTCATTTTTAAACTTTACCCCAATGGCTGCTCAGAGCAGGAAAATGTTGTTCCGTATGTGGTCACTAGAGGGGGAACTTGACAAACACATGACAACCGCCTCCTATAGTGCTGCCATTGTCCTCCCAACAGTTCCAATTATTTATTTCAGGTCCTTATATAGCGACGTCAATCTACTCCGCGCTTTACATATATATTGTACATTCACATCAGTCCCTAACCCTCAAGGGGTGTACAATCTAAGGTCCCTAACTCACATTCATACATACACATACTAGGGACAATTTAGACAGGAGCTAATTCACCTACCAGCATGTCTTTGGAGTGTGGGAGGAAACCAGAGTAGCCGGAGGAAACCCACGCAGGTACAGGGAGAAATTGGAAACTCCAGGCAGGTAGTGCCGTGGTTGGGATTCTGTGTGCACCAGTGAATGCAGGGTCCGGGGAGACAGGATATAGTGAATACAGGGTCCAGGGAGAGCAGATATTGTGAATGCAGGGTCTGGGGAGAGCTGATATAGTGAATGCGGGGTCCGGGGAGACCGGATATAGTGAATGCGGGATCCGGGGAGAGCGGATATAGTGAATGCAGGGTCCGGGAGAGCGGATATAGTGAATGCAGGGTCCGGGAGAGCGGATATAGTGAATGCGGGATCCGGGGAGAGCGGATATAGTGAATGCAGGGTTCGGGGAGACCGGATATAGTGAATGCAGGGTCCGGGAGAGCGGATATAGTGAATGCGGGGTCTGGGGAGAGCAGATATAGTGAATGCAGAGTCCTGGGAGACCGGATATAGTGAATGCGGGGTCCGGGGAGACCGGATATAGTGAATGCAGGGTCCGGAGAAAGTGGATATAGTGAATACGGGGTCCGGGGGAGAGTGGATATAGTGAATGCGGGGTCCGGGAGGGACCAGATATAGTGAATGCGGGGTCCGAGGGGGACCAGATATAGTGAATGCGAGGTCCGGGGAGACGAGATATAGTGAATGCGGGGTCCGGGGAGAGCGGATATAGTGAATGCGGGGTCCTGGGAGACCGGATATAGTGAATGCGGGGTCCTGGATATAGTGAATGCATGGTCCGAGGAGAGCAGATATAGTGAATGCGGGGTCCGGGGAGAGCAGATATAGTGAATGCTGGGTCCGGGGAGAGCGGATATAGTGAATGCGGTGTCCAGGGAAAGCGGATATAGTGAATGCGGGGTCCGGGGAGAGGTGATATAGTGAATGCGAGGTCCGGGGAGACGAGATATAGTGAATGCCGGGTCCGGGGAGAGCGGATATAGTGAATGCGGGGTCCTGGGAGACCGGATATAGTGAATGCGGGGTCCTGGATATAGTGAATGCATGGTCCGGGGAGAGCAGATATAGTGAATGCGGGGTCCCGGGAGAGCAGATATAGTGAATGCGGGGTCCGGGGAGAGCAGATATAGTGAATGCGGGGTCCGGGGGAGAGCGGATATAGTGAATGCAGGGTCCGGGGGAGACCGGATATAGTGAATGCGGGGTCCGGGGAGAGCGGATATAGTGAATGCGGGGTCCGGGGAGAGCGGATATAGTGAATGCGGTGTCCAGGGAAAGCGGATATAGTGAATGCAGGGTCCGTGTTTAGGAACACTTTAAGATAGATCGGTCACAGACGTCATTTTTAACATTCCAACACATTTCAGGTGATTTGAAGCTGCTCCCTTCATTAGAGCCTGATCAGGGCAAGTCCATTTGAGCGGAACAGGCAACCAGTATACTCTGAAATGGTAAAGTAATAGCTGTAAAGCTCATCACATCCACATTGATTTGCTGCACTTAGTTTGCGCCCTTTCATGTTTCTTTCTTGATCAGGGCAAAGCCTGTTAGAGCTAGGGGCCCATCATCAGTTTTCATAGCAGCATCATCGGCTTGTTTGGATGGAGGCTACAATTGTCAGTAGACGTGGAATGCCTGAGATGTGACTGGGACCCTGATCAGTGGGCAATGCTTTGGGAGAAGAGTAGGAGGAAGTGTGGAAGATAGTATAGAAGCAGTTGATGAAAAGTAAGTGGGATAACAAGTAAAAAGCTGGGGAGCGTCAGACCTCGCGGTGTGCAGATCCGTTGCCTCAATCTGCGGTGGGACACCATTGTGGTTTTAAACGTTTGGTTTGATAAGCTTGGGTTCCACCAATTTTTGGCCATAGAGCAGCGGAAATAAGGGAGGACCTCAAGATCTCCCAAACGTTTTTGTCCAGTCCACCCTCATCCAACCATCTACAATTAAAAAAAAAAAAGAAGGCAGAAGGCTGACCAAACTGGTGAAGCGTCTTGTAAATGCCCCAAAAAAACATCGCTCTGAAGATCAGACGGCTCCAAGAACCGGGCCCCGATGTGCGTGAATCTACAATGCCGATCGGGAAGTCGGAGGGTTTGCTGGTTGGATGCACATTCCCAAGCTGGTGTCCTTCAACACAAAGAATGAGGTCATGACAGCCATGTCTCTTCTGTATGGGGACAATAGGTATTTCTGTGAGATCTTCGAGACCCCCCCCCCCCCCCCCCCCCCCCCCCCCCCCCCAAGGACACCAAATTCTCACACTGCCTGCATCTGCCACACATAAATACACATGGGGCCATTGTGACGGCACTGACAAGACACTCTCAGCCCCTGATGACTCCATCAACTGGTAGCACAAAAACAACTTTATATAGACAACAGAACAGTGCTGTGTGTGGAGGGGGATGGGAGGGTCAAATCTGGCTGGTCACCACCAAATGGAGATACAATTACAAGGCGGCTGTGTTTGTGTATCTGTTCTCGGCTCCCCACATTTTTCATTATTTTATATATTATATATTATACATTCACATCAGTCCCTAACCCTCAAGGTGCGTACAATCTAAGGTCCCTAACCCTCAAGGGGTGTACAATCTAAGGTCCCTAACCCTCAAGGGGTGTACAATCTAAGGTCCCCAACTCACATTCATACATACACATACTAGGAGCAATTTACACAGGAGCCAATTCACCTACCAGCATGTCTTTGGAGTGTGGGAGGTAGAGATGAGCGAATTTTTCAAAAATTCGATTCGGCGAATTCCAGGAAGAAATTAGCCTGATAGGCTGTGAATATAGAGACGAGCACATATTAGAGCAGCAGTGTTGCTATAAGGAACTTGGAAACCTGGAATTAATCCATTTGATTGAAGCTGATTTATGGGAAAGAGGGCTTTTGTTTATTACACTGGGATGTTTTTTGATGCATGGGTGATTTTCTATGAGGATTTTTTGTGTATTATATTGGGATGTTTTTGCTGCATGGGTGGATTTTAGCGGAACACAATTAAGATGGTTATTGCATGTTTCTGAAAATTGATATATATGCACATGCTGTTTTTGTTTTTAGGGAGCGCAGCACAATAATTTATTTATTTACTATTATATACACTATTATATGAGTTGGGTGTGAAGTGTTTGCGAACCACATATTGTTTTTATCTTTGGTTTAATTTTATGTTTTTATTCATTTTTTTTTTTAAAAAATAGTATATTTTATTTTGTTACACATTTTGAAGGTTAAAAGTCACTATATTGGCTCACAAGTCTTTTTTAAAAAAAATGTTTTTTGAGTTCAGCTTTTTCCTTTGATCTTATTAATAAAAATACTACACTATCAGAGGTTTCTGCTTGGGCTCGATTTATTGCGCCCCCCCTTTAAGGTGGATTCCTTATTCTCCACACTCACCATTGAGAGTGATCCCCCTGCTGGATGGATGTGTATCCCTGGAACCTGGAGAGTGATGACAAGCTGATTACCTGTCTTGTGGTGGTTTGCCAGATGATCCCGATTCTCACCTTTCCAGAATCAGATGACCAGGAGTGGTCTGTTTACTCAAATGCGCACTATATTGCGCTGTCTGGTTAGTGCAATGTATACTCATTCATAAATCACTGGAGTCACGGAATTCACTGAATCATTTGTTTTGGACTTACAAACTATTATTTACTGGTTATTTACTATTTATGTCACTTTTGCACTTTAACCGTCAATAATAAGACGCTTTTTCACATTAATGTATGTTAGCGCTCCACAGCGCATTTTTGGATTTTCTAGACCATATACCTTTCTTATCAAATATTTACATGGAATTATAGCGCTGCATCTGTTTATGACCGATCATTATATTCTCCAAGCGGGGAGCCACAACAGCGCTGCGCTGATTCCACATTCATATCAAATGTACAGATGGGGGAGTTTGCACATTTTCTTTTCGTCAACTTGCTAATTGAACAAAAAATAAAATGTACAATGTATGCCGTCTCAGGTGACGCTGTTTCCATATACAGTGGGGATCAAAAGTTTGGGCACCCCAGCTAAAAATTTGTATTAATGTGCATAAAGAAGCCAAGGAAAGATGGAAAAATCTCCAAAAGGCATCAAATTACAGATTAGACATTCTTATAATATGTCAACAAAAGTTAGATTTTATTTCCATCATTTACACTTTCAAAATAACAGAAAACAAAAAAATGGCGTCTGCAAAAGTTTGGGCACCCTGCAGAATTTATAGCATGCACTGCCCCCTTTGCCAAGCTGAGACCTGCCAGTGTCATGGATTGTTCTCAATCATCGTCTGGGAAGACCAGGTGATATCAATCTCAAAGGTTTTAAATGCCCAGAATCATCTGACCTTGCCCCAACAATCAGCACCATGGGTTCTTCTAATGCAGGCCATAGATGAATCGTAATTCGGCCGATTTTTCGTCCGGAAGATAAATCTACCGATTATCTTATCGTTAGTGGACGATTTCGTCGGCCGTTTTTCGTGTATTTTGGACTTTCAGATTATCGGTGATGTTGGAAAATTTTCGGAAAACGCCCGACTTTATCCTCATTGATGGTCAAAAACGGACGATCGTTTTCCGAAAATTTTATGCGCATGTGCAGTGACCTGGAAAGAGAAGTTTGCAGCGTACGAAGTTTCGTTTCCGGTACAAATTAAAAATAAAAATGACATCATTTCCCGTTATAGGTTACTCATTAATCGGCCGATTTTTGTAATAATTGGTGGTCAGGTAGGTTTTTTAGACCGACCGATAGTTCGTTAATCGACCGAAAATCGGCCGAATTACGATCCATCTATGGCCTGCATAAGCCAGTGGTTCTCAAACTTTCTAATGCCGCGACCCCTTAATACAGTTCCTCATGTTGTGGTGACCCCCCAACCATAAAAATTATTTTCGTTGCTACTTCATAACTGTAATTTTGCAGTGGGGGGAGGAACAGTGCCCTGTCGTTGGTGTCAGTGGGGGGAGGAACAGTGCCCCGTCGTTGGTGTCAGTGGGGGGAGGAACAGTGCCCCGTCGTTGGTGTCAGTGGGGGGAGGAACAGTGCCCCGTCGTTGGTGTCAGTGGGGGGAGGAACAGTGCCCCGTCGTTGGTGTCAGTGGGGGGAGGAACAGTGCCCCGTCGTTGGTGTCAGTGGGGGGAGGAACAGTGCCCCGTCGTTGGTGTCAGTGGGGGGAGGAACAGTGCCCCGTCGTTGGTGTCAGTGGGGGGAGGAACAGTGCCCCGTCGTTGGTGTCAGTGGGGGGAGGAACAGTGCCCCGTCGTTGGTGTCAGTGGGGGGAGGAACAGTGCCCCGTCGTTGGTGTCAGTGGGGGGAGGAACAGTGCCCCGTCAGTGCCCCGTCGTTGGTGTCAGTGGGGGGAGGAACAGTGCCCCGTCGTTGGTGTCAGTGGGGGGAGGAACAGTGCCCCGTCGTTGGTGTCAGTGGGGGGAGGAACAGTGCCCCGTCGTTGGTGTCAGTGGGGGGAGGAACAGTGCCCCGTCGTTGGTGTCAGTGGGGGGGAGGAACAGTGCCCCGTCGTTGGTGTCAGTGGGGGGAGGAACAGTGCCCCGTCGTTGGTGTCAGTGGGGGGAGGAACAGTGCCCCGTCATTGGTGTCAGTGGGGGGAGGAACAGTGCCCCGTCATTGGTGTCAGTGGGAGGAACAGTGCCCCAACACTGGTGTCAGTGGGAGGAATCGTGCCCCAACACGTTTGGTGTCAGTGGGAGGAAATAGTGCCCCATCATTGGTGTCAGTGGGAGGAATAGTGCCCCCATTGGTGTCAGTGGGAGGAATAGTGCCCCATCGTTGGTATCAGGGGGA